ATGTTTTTAACAATTTGAAAATTGCCCAGAGTTGCTGGGAATCAGGCAGAATTTAAATTTGAGTAAATGCTTTATAGTGGATGAACAGCACATTCTCATAAGAGATAGCTGGCATCTGGTAACAATTAACAACTATGTAAATCTTATATTAACCATAGTCAGTATGTGACAAGATGGCAACTAATTTAATTTAAACTATCGACATCACTAATAACTTCCTATGTTTTGTGTGTCAGTTTAATCACTGATTTTCCCTCTGCAGGTGAGAAACAAGAGTATATTCATTGCTGATACATTACTGCTCAGCGTGTTAGTGTACCTGGATTTAAAGCAAAGTTATCAATCAGACTTTTCCACGCAATGAAAGCTATTTTCTTCACCACCGGGGAGCCACTACGAAATCCAAGTTCTTCTAAATGGAGCAAGGAATTGATAAAGCTTCCACTATGGTGCAGTGTCTAAAGGGGAAAATGCAGCGTCATTGTATACTGTAATGTACTTTCAGTATCATAGGTTAAAATGATTTTTTCTCCAACTTACTTTTCCAAGCAACTTTATAAACAGGGGCCACAGTTTCAGAATATATGTTTCATGTTTTGAAAAAAACAGCTTTTGGAGTTCTGGAATTACTTTCTGTAGGATTATAATAGAGAACATTTATTAAAATGTTATATTTAGAGAAAAATGCACCTTAATGAGATTCTTGGGAGGCTTGTTCAGAGATGGCCAGCTAAGGTCCTACAACAGCATTCTGAATTATTTTACATGAATAGGAATTGTTTGTCAAATATCTAGAAGGAATTTGCAGTTATGCCTCACTCTGAAAAATGCCAAAGCCATTTTAAAATTCCATGGGATGCAAGAAGGAATGATTAAATTACTTGTAGCAAATCCACTGTAAAATCACCACATGAGGCACAATTCAGCAATTTATTCTCTGAGATTAGAAACTGGGTTGCTAAGAATAAAAATCAATGTGTTTTGAATAGGTTTAAATTGACTCCAGCAGCAAGGCTACCATTAATAGTATTGTGTGTTTATAGATCAAAATGATGGAAGAGTCTTACAAACAAATTGCTCTCCTACAGATTGTCACCCGAGTATTCACTATCCTTAAGGCTTAATAATGAAAAATATGTAATCAAACAGTGGATCTGGGACAGAGCCACTAAATAATCTAAGAGGATTTTAAACTTTTATCAACTTTTCATAAAATCCCAGAGACCCTCTTCTGACGCCTGATTTTTCTCTTATTCCATGTTATCAATGGACATTTTTAAGAGCTTGCCTTAATGCCACACCCTCAGTATCTTTTTTTAAAGATGCTGTAATATCCCAGGTCCCAAGAGGATTTCTCCTATGAGAATGAGGTAAGATAGAGAAAACTGAACATGTTCTTTTATATTGTGAATTTAATCCAGACTTTTATAAAATGCTGATATGGTCTTTATTTTAAAAAAAATCCAAGTTATTCAGATGGATTTTACATTAAATATCATTCGGCTGACAGAGACTCCATAATTACATACTGTACACAATTGTAAAATTTTATTGTGCAGCTATAAAAATTATTTGCATTCTTGTAACCCTTACAGAATTGATTTGTATTAATCGTATGAAATTTGACTTAAGTTTTTAAACACTGGGTTGACATACTCTTTTATTGCTATCTTTTATCTATTGTTTTATATCAATTGTCCTTTAGTTTGCATGTTTTAAGACTACAAAAGGTATACATTCATTTATTCAATTCAGAATAAATGTAACATCTAATCTAAAGGATTATATTGAAAAACACATGAACATACAATTTCATATGGAAAAATATAAACATTAAGATATTATATTAGAAATTACATATAGCAGTCAATTATCATTTTAATACTCTTTCAAAATAATACATTTCAGTTCAGGCTTCATTTGTATTTATCTTCCTATATTTAAAGTACGACTCTGGTATTTATTATATAATATTTGTACACATTTCAATGATTTCTATTTTAGATTTTTAATTTATTCCAAAAATATACATGACTGAAAATCTAGTAAAATAGCTGTATGGGGACTGAATGAAGGTCATGCAATATGTCTGGCTCTATGGTGCTCTGCAAACACATTTAAGATATATTTGACTTACAGTGGTCATGATTTGTTCAGTGACTGTTATCACCTCTTGGTGCTGCTGAAGAAGTGGTAGACCCATTTCCAAAGCACTAGCAGCTTTTAATTGTACTTTATGAGCTGAGTGAACCACCAGAGGAATTATTATCTTAGCCCACTTCACAGCCTGTTGCTCCATGTCGGATGGAGCCTGTTCTATCAGCCTAGATTTTAGAAACACAAATATGAATAAGTTTTGCAAACACAAATATGAATAAGTTTTGCAAAGTTTTTGCAAGTTTGTTAAAAGAACTGAGTATGCAGGTGTATGTAAATCTCTTGCTCTCACATGGCAGTGGTTTGCAGTCTATTCTGAATAACATTACAGTGCTTTGAAGGCTAATTGAAGATGTCTACAGACCAGAGACAAGATAACTTAATCCATTTTCAATTATCCAACTGGCGTCAATGCAATAATGAGGCCATTTCAGCTGATTTGGACCACAAATAAACTAAAATCACTTTAGATTAAGTAAAACCTAGAATATGATCCAGAATTCTTTGCTCATTTCAATAGACTGTTGACAGTTGAAGTAATATGGAAAAGCTTCCCCAAACTAACTCTTACAAGCAGCCGTTGCCTATCTACTACATTATAGAACTACCATTTATGTTACATTGCTACCATTGGTGTGCTCCAATTATAATATGAAATACAATCTCAATAAAGATCTAATATAAAGTTAGTAGCTTAACTGGAAAGTAGAGCAAATTTCCCCAAAACTATAAACACATATACAATTTCTCTGACACATAATGTGATAAATTCAAAACACAAATATTACTGAGCATGCAGTACAATCATAACAGTGCTATAGCTTACAATGTAAACAGGTCAACATTTAAACAGAAGTCTTTCTCCTCTTCTAATTTTTAACCAATTTATAACTGACACATACCGGATGATAACATTTAGCGCTTCATATTCAACCACCACGGAATGTAAATCTCCTTTTAGTACTGTTTCTAGCATAGCAATAATACTGGGTACCTGAAAAGATATAATGAGTGAAGTACAGCAAGACTTTTTATCAACTTTTATTTATAGGTGATGAAAACAAATCTTACTCACCAACTTTGCAACAGTATCAGGAGGAAAGGACTGCTTTGAGATCACCCAAAGTGCTCTTGTGCGAGTGTGTTTGTCTCCTGAATTTAAAGCAACATTGTTTAATGTAGAAAGTAGTTCATGTATTTCTATTTCTGTTAAAAAAAAATAGAAAAACCAGAAATTATTGTTAGAGGTATTATCACTATGTAATAATTGATAGCAACAATTTTCCTGGTCTGTATGAAATTCAGACTAATTTCCCTGTTAAGACAATTCTCCAGTGGCTACAGACATGCGGTGTCTAATTTTCCCTAAAGACCATAACACTAACTGCCCTGGGATTAGAGATATAGGATTTATTTTTGACAAAAGTCAAGACACAAAGCATACTACGGCTTTTCATTCATGTTTCACAGAAATGGTATGCAGAAACATTTGCTCTATGTTCTAACAACTCATATGTACTTACATCAAATAATCCTAAATAATCCTAAATAAAAGTATGTGGATACAAAGCAATTCACTTCCACATATGCATCCATGTGCATAAAGGGATGGCTCAACTGTTCTGTACAGAAACCGTTGTTCTGGATAGGGGTTTCTTTAATAATGATGTATGCCTCTGGCAGTATGCCAACAGATAGGAAAAAATATGCCAAAGAACTGCTCATGTGAGTATTTGATGTCAGGGAAGTCCACAGGTTATTTGTATTCGTCTTTTGTATTTTTAAACTCTGATTAAAAATTATTATTTAAAAAAATCATTCTTGGATCTCTGCAGGTTTTATTTTGGCTGAAACATGGACCAATCAAAAGATTCTGCCATTTATTTATGCTGAAATGTAGCCAATGGGAAGCAGATTTAAAAGTAACATATTCCAATTCATGGACATTTCTATCTGTGATTATGTAATTCTGTTAGTTTATCAATGTTTATAATAGAAAAAGGTATTTACCACATAACAAGGAAGAAATCTTTGGATTAAATACACAATATCCCAAAGCTTGTAAAGCTGCACTGCTCAACTCCGCATTTTCAGAAGGAACATATGTCTAAACAAGAAAGAAAACAAATCTAAACTCACACAACAGAAGACTGACCACTTATATTACTTCAATTTGTCAAGATCTGAAACTGGTATCATTCTCTAATCCAGAGCTGAAGAAGCTTCTTGAATGAGAAAAGAAACGTCTTCAAAGAAAAACAAGAAAGTCCAGTTGCCTCATGAAAAAGCATCTTTGGGACAACCATGACCTGGATGACTGAGAATCTCCACAGAAATCTCTAATCCAACCTTACCCAATCTGGTAAATCTCTAGATCAGGGGTGTCAAACTGCTGGCCCAAGGGCCGGTTGCATCATACGGAGGTAATGACCCCCCCCCCAGCTCTGGCAATGCAAAAAAAGTCGCGATACGTCACATGACATGGCGAGTTTGACACCCGTGCTCTAGATACTCTTCAACCACCATCCATAGTCACTTTACTGGAACGTATGAAAGTGGACTTTCAGCTAATTTGGAGGGTGACCAAATTGGAGATGGTCGTTATATTTACTTAAGATTAGAGTGTTTAATATAATATTTCATCTTACCTTCAAATACAAAAGCTAGTTAATTTGCAGGTTATTTCTCTAATCCACACACCAAAGCTGATATATATCAGTAATTTAGTGATCTTGATATGAAAAATGAATAAATTTATTTCTCTTGTTTAACAGGCAAACTTGATAGTACATTAAGTTTCTTTATCTTCAATAAAAAAAATCAATAGCGATTTTTGACATGATTCAAATTGTTAAAAACTTACAAAAGTATGCACCTCTTCAAATTAAAAGTTTCAACTGCTAATCTTGCCCAATTCTGGTGACAGGAAGCAACTTAACCTTGTTTAGCCTGAAGTATTTAGATAACTAAACAGGGCAATAAAGACTAAGCACAGAAGTGAAATACATACCATAAATATTTTGTAAAGTTGTGGAAAACAGTTTTCAATCTCAATTGCTAATTCCCTTCCTTCGTCTTCATCCTCTTCATCTTCAGTCAGACGACTTAATATTGAAAAACAAACAGGCTTTCAGTTAAAAAGTGCTCCAATGTAGACAAATACGTAGCTATTTAAAGGCTAACCAATACAACCCATGACTCGGTATGAATTTGATGACAGACATTTATCAGTTATCAGGCTTTGCTTATAAGAACTTCAAGCTTTCTGTTAATACCCAAATAAAATATTTGGGGATAAATGTAAAAGGAATGCTGATAGTGATGTTAAACATTTGTCTGGCACGACAAATGCTCTAAGCTGAAAATCTTATTTCTAGCAAATGTTGGATTATGATATTGTAAAGATTATGGATCTGAAAAATAATGTATTAAAGACCAAGTTATCTGATAAAGTGGCAAATGATTTCAAGTTATACAGTATATTAATGGGGAAAACTAAAGCAAATAAATGGATTTTTGTACCTTCATATAATGTTTATGGGAAAATAAGTAGAAAAATATCAAGATCACAAATACAAAATAGTGAGTAGTAAGTGGCCTACTGATAAAATAAAAATGTATTGACAAAAGTAAAAACAGCTCTGTAGAAAAGTGTGCTTCTGTGACTTTGTTACATGGAACAAATAGCCATGTCATGAGAAGTTGAACCCA